CAATGACTGTGAGCGAGGTCAACTACATAGGTCAAACTAGTAGGTCAGGGGTAGTCAGATTGTCAGAGCATAAAATTTAGCTAAGGTAAGAATGGTTTACCCGAGAAGATAAGTAATTTAGAAAAAAGCTCAGTAATTGCAATGCATGCGCTAACACACAACCACACAATAGGGTGGGAGAGGGTTAAAATTCTAAAAAGTAATCTAGGTAGGTGGAGAGAGAGGTTGATTACTGAATCCTTGTTCATCGAGTCTACACCCAACACATGCAATAGGAATGACTCGTCACTCATACCTGAAATATGGAAAATACTATTACCAATCAAATCAAGTGAAAATCAAGAGATAAACAATGGAACTATATAGATGAATTTAGGAAGTCGTGTGATTACCTTGATATGATTATGAGCAATAAATTGTGCTCGAAACGTCATCAGTAAACATTACTGTATAACACTGTGAAACTTTATCAAAACAAAATTTACCCATAATGGAATGAGCCGGTGGATTTGATGAGACGTCTTTTACAAAAATGCCAACTTTGCAATGAGTGGCCGATTACTATCAACAGCTCGGATAAAATTAGTTGGGTCTCCTCCATCCTATTCAATAAAGCCTAAAAACTTTGAATTTTCAATATCAGGGACTATTCTCAAGTTTGTATTTTGTTATCCTTACTTTTTATCTGAAAACTAGACATCACGTAAACGATATATCATTTCGTGTTTGCTTTTATATGTGTGATGGGTTATGATTAAATATTGTTAGGCACTGTTTCTATACTGCGACAACCGATTATGAGTATCAAAGCCATCGACCAACGATTGGTTGATTTAACCTTAAATGGAATAATTTTTGTGTTATACAAACAAAAATATGATTCGTGTAACTGTGAGATCAACTTATTTGAATACCTGGAAATCCACAGCTGAAATTTGCCACATTTCTATGAGAATTCGTCAAAATTCATCCAACACTCAACTTTCATCACTATCAATAGTATGGTTTTCAAAGAGTAGTTTTGCGTTCACTAGTTTCTCTGAACTACAGTACTAAGTGTGGATTTTGTCTGACAAAAGGTGTTGATAAGAGTAAACTAGAACACACTAGTTTGCACAAAGTTATCCTGACTTTAGATTGGCTCGTTTCTACCTTGATAATCCTCCTCATCAATATTTGTCCTAGATAATTCCTGGATTTCAATCTCCTTTGCATTGAATAAATAAGAACGTGTATGATTTCACTGGCCTAAATGTTTTGGTTAGATAAAAATTACGTTCAAGTTGGGTCGGTCTTTTTCGATTAGGATTTTTTAAGATGATTCGGCTCTCTCTTCAAGTATCCGGACTAAATATGTGACAACAGCGAGTGGTAAGCAAACACATTAAGCTTATCTTCGCCCGCTGTAGGTGTTTGTTGGCTGACGAATCCACAAGTGTTTTCTATAAATCTATTTCTGCAGAGTTCCATAGCTTTTCCTCGATAAATTCACATCAACTTTAGTTCTGCATTTTTTTAAACATTTACGGCTTGATTCATCAGAGAACCATGGTATAACTATAGAATTTTTAGCCTGTGATACTGGTAGCCAAACTTGGCATGCCAACCATTCATATCAGGTGTGAGTCGTTCAGGGATCCAAGACCGGACCATGTGCAAGGCTGGCGAATTCCTAACCACTATGCCATCGACGCACAGTATATTGTTCACACTATAAAAAACATCACGGATAATAACAGAAACATTCACATACCTTCTGTATGTGAAAAAACTGCCTTCACGCAGGAATTTATCACAATAGTGAAAGTGTAGGTTCGAAATTCTACTGATGATAACCTGACTGCCGAACAGGCTGGTCTACCTAGTCGAAGCTGCGATACACTGATCATGAATCTATGTCGTATTTGAGCCTCAGAATCCGAACAGATCGAATGACGTCTTCAGTCAGCAGAAACCATGAAGTAATGCCTCTTCGTGAATGCTTCTTCACTGGTTTGTGGATCAAGTTTCAAGTTGAAGTCTCGAAATATGCACATTTAAGAGAAATGAGTGCTGTCGCAAAATCTATGAATTTTGAATGGCACATTTCCTAGTGTCCATGGTATAGTGAGTGTGTGATTCGACGATGACACTAACGAATTTATACAACTTAATGTCTTCCTTTGCTCATTTCAGCTGACTGTCTTCTTTTAGGATTCGATGATGAAAACATCAGAGTGTTGTTTCGAAAACTGATATTATTCATCGACAAGGTACACAAAAGATAGACATGGGGGATATAGCCACTTGAAAAATCAAAGGATAAAAAATAACGGACTTGCATCGACAAAGCTTGCGATGACTTCATATGGTTATAAGCAATACATTTGGCTCAAAATATCACCTGTAAATCATACCATGTCACTGGATATTTAGCTAGCAAACAAAATTATTCCAAGATGGAAACAGAGTCAGTGAAAACAAAGAAGCATTGCCACATACCATGCAGACAACCGTCTTTGCAAATGCCCAGACGTACATCAAAAATTAATCACTCCCACTGAAACAGTATTCAGATAAGTGAAATTCAATGAAACTAACAATCAGCCACATCAATGTGAAATAATAAGCTCCTTACAGAAAACAAATCATCCAACAAATTACTTCATAATTATATATATATATCCAAAAACACATACACTCTACAGGGTGTTCCACAGCCACCTCGATACACTGTCTGAAGGAGTACTTAGAAAAGTGCAAACATATTCAGGTAACATCAACACCTGAACTTACATACCTTACATCCAGCGTATTATTCGAGATAAAAAGAGAAGAGATCTCCTTTCCATTACCCATAGACTGACAGAAACAAGTAACGTTATTTATTGTATGATAAACAGAATAAATTCACTAATTATAGGAACGACACAACTCTGTATTCCATAGGGAAACAGAAGAGTTTATTATGTGTAATACCACAACAAACCATCTCTAGAATCACTGCTTACACTAAGCATGATATGATGTGAAATTATCTACAAGAATGTTATCTCTAAGTAAGACATGTGTGGAAAGCTTCCTCATCCTTCTTTAGGATACCTCAACGGTATGCATAAGTGGAGCGAATAAGTAGGTGTGTTGAGTCACCTATTGTCAAATAGTTCCGTAGACAATAGCCATGTGGGATCAAATATAGCTTGATCCTTGGAATCACTTTCTAACTGGTTAATTCAAAGGGGGTTTGATAAGATTTTGAGAGGTTAAAAATGAATTATGATTACACATAATATAGAATTTATCCTAAAGTAACCAATTTTCGAAACCGAGTACGATGAAGAAAATAAAAATGATCAAGTCGAAATAACAACACACAATGACGGTTCACAAGTGAGAAATGTAGAAATGTGGTGTTGCGTTATTCAAGTACTCCTAGAGTCTGTCTGTTACTTTATATTATTCTGGTGATTTCAAGATTTCTAAATCGTACATATATATTCACATGTAGTGAAGTGTACATCCTAACACAATCGAGACGGTGAATCGAAATCGAACATGTGACTATTTAGATGGTGAATCTGAAAAATAGTGTGAAGAATTTCTCAGAGTTCCATGTGTACAGTAGAACTTATTTAACAATATTCACCAGAAGAAAATACAGTAGGTAATAAAATTCCGATGAAGTGGGTGCATTTAAACGGACAGAGAGGCTGATGAAAGGCATCACGTTGCGACAGAATAAAATAAATCGACGATTCATTGATACCTTACATACCGCAGGTACACCTGAGTGAATATGTTCGTTAGGCAAACATCTACGACAATACAGTCTTTACGCGTTCAAAAAACGTAAAAGATCCTGTGGAAAATGTAATGTTATCCTGCAGCCCTTTTTAGTGACACCTATCATGGTCATAAACCGATGGTGTATCCACGTTTGCATCCATTAATTTAGCAGCTTTGAAGATGTCATTACAGTGCGCATAAACGTCTGTTCATAGGAAAATAACTGGGACCGACATCAGTGAATTTTTCATGTTAACAAGATGCGAGTACAAAACTCAGATTCTTAAGGTAATGAATATTCCGACCAGTAGCGGCTACTGAAATTCGCCTCAAACAACTGGCACCCTCTGTGCAAGCGAAATAGTTCAGGTATTATTGTTGATCTAACTTTCTGTGGCATCTGAAAATCGACTAATACTGTGTTTTTTGGCCTTTTAGTTATCTCCCTCCGTATTTATGTACTCAGTCGTTACCTCATAACCATAACTGTTGTTTCCCATTAAAATTAAACTCAGATGATGGATAACAAGGATTTACTTTACATTACTTCTTCACGTTTCATTCTCTATTGCATATTTTCATTCCAATGCATTTATTCTTGACGTGAGTAGTTACGTGTTACTTTATTTTTTACGCGAATTACCTTTCACACATCATCGTGCTCTTTTATGTATATCCCCACTTTGACGTTGCACTATGTGGCATGAAGCATAGCAACTTCACAATGTGATATTTTCGTAAATTCCATCTGTTTAATTTATATGAAACACAGAGTATTGCATTTTATCAAAATCCTGCGATTTGAATTTTAAACATAGCTAAGACGATTATTTTATTCTGTGGAAATTTTTACCAAAAATTATCTATCATAGAGGAAATCCACAAACTTTACATTCCAGTATTCAGTTTTGTCGGGAAAGCTGAATATGTAAGAAACATGAATAACCTGACTGAATGATCTCTGTCCTTCGAAGACCTTTACACCATCAATAGCATATATTTCATTTGAAAAAATCTGTTAATTTTTCAATTAGCCTATTACTACATTTCTGTATAGCGACATTTTACTTTGATATGTTTCAACATTTCATAGATAATATACACAATTTCAGAAAGAAAAGAATTCGATCAGTTATTATTCTCAATGGCTAATTAGAATATCACGAAAAAAGTTAAATTATATACATATATATATGTTATATATGTATACGTGTGACTACGTGAATGTTTTCTAAGGCGTATATATCTGAAGTTAGAAATCAATTCAAGTGAGTGAGTTATTGCCATATCTAATCTGGTGGTTGTAATTTGATTCATTTGTTCCTGAATTTACTTAAATATGAATGAATAGATGGTATCCATTATAGTCTGATGCTGATGACAGCTGACGTGCTTTATTCCATGTATGACAGACAGGAAAGCTTAATAAAGAGAGATTTGATGAGTTCATCAAATTTTTGTAGAGCTCTTTAGTTGAACACTCGACACACAGAGATGTTCACACTGCTAAAATTACGTTTGGAAAAAACATGACTGATAAGTGAATAAGCGACACTGGAGAAAGCACGCAAACCTATTGGTGTGCACTTTTTTCAGATAATGCTCACACAGGTAGGGGAGTAGTATTATTATTGTAGTATTCATGCCTTCATGCCCTCTATAAAAGCTGTGTATGACAAGTACCACTGTGATCAGAATGTCCAAAATGTGTTACGCCAATACATGACTGGTTTCAGATAAACTGCGTCTTCTTATTGTGTTGTCAAAATTATAAACCTTATCGAAAACTAGTATTAAGATTCGCTTTTCACAACATTACTTTACTTTTCAGCTTTTAACAGTGTTACATCAACAATATGTGCATTCTAACGTGACGAACTCACTTTCTATTGTACCTTTATCTACAGCTGCCTTTTTTATTTTCAACATACCTAAAGATGGCAGTTCTAGATACATCTAGCGAAAGTGAGATATTTTACACTCAGAGACAACAAAAATTGTCTGGTAGAAATTTATCTTGGGTAAGAATTTGACAGATTAATAGCCAAGTTTTTAATATCAGTTCTTAATAGACTTAGTGTTAATGATATTGACGACAACGGTGATCGTCATTGTGTTCTCTGCTCTGTAGGAATGAAATAAAGTAAATGACTAATCTTCATCTTGTCTAGCAGGTCATACTTTTCCGAGTTCTTGAGGAAATATTATGTGGCTTATATTACATCGTAAGTTATCTTTTAAGCATTATCTACTTATCATTGAATAATTCGCATACGATTTACCAAAGGAATTCAGTCATAACATCTTGGACTGAAATATATTTGTACCACACATTCCGAATCGACTCTACTGACTAGTGCAGATCAGGGAAATTTGAGTGTTATGTTTTTAGCCTATTTTGAAATAGGAAAATAAAATTCCATTTCGATTTTCAACTTCACGATTCGAAATTTTTTGTTCTGGTGTTGAATATGGACTGTGATATTTAGGAAAACACCGGTTTGCACAGGACTAGTGTGGCTAACATCTCACATGATACCACACTAGAAACAACTCTTAACTCTCCAACTCTTAACCCAAATATGCTTCGTAAAGCAGTACTGCAAGACCTGAAATTCCTAAACTAATTATGCCCAATGTTGCTAAACCTCGGGTATTAATAAACAGAAATTGGGTAGAAGAAAAGTAGCGGATAAGGTAGGACTTTAAGTAAACACATAGAAGACAGATGTGATGAAGATGCACAGCTCACAACAACAAACCAACAACTGGAGAAAGTAAAGGGAAGTCAGTGCTCGGGTTAGGCATACTTTGAGTTAATTCAAATCAGTGAGGAAATCTACGTCTGTCAAGATAGGGAAAAACACCCGAACTTTCAACAGAGATGGCCGTGGGGTCACCAGTTCAATGTGGTCTACAGACTTAACGCACCATGAAACGCAAATTCATCAGACTTGAAAGTTTTATGAACACCTGTTTTCACTCAGTACTGGAGTACGGATTGCCGGCTGGTAACGATGGGCCATAATGAATTCCGCTAATAAACCAACCAATGATTTACTGCTCTACAAATATACTGAAGGAAATAAGGATCCATTGGGGGGGGATACTGACTGACAGCACATGCCAGACTCTTGAGTGGAATGCTAAATCCAAACAAAGAGCTTAGTGCAGCTCATAGCATCTAACAAAGTTAAGTGAATGGCGTGAATGCATCGATTTTTCATATCCAAAATTAGTTTATTCGAAGAACCAACTGTTACTACATGTAAATTATTAGTCATATAGTCAGTCATTTTTGTCTGTGAATTCATTTTAGATCACTTGGCCTCTTTCTAATACTTCTACTGGTATTCGTGGGAAAGATTCGATCTCAATCAGTCGCTGTTCGTTTACTGCTTGGAATTACGGTAGGTATCAATTTTGTTTTAGCTTACGTGAAACCATGACAATTAAAACTAACAGTAAGATGAGTGGTTGGTTACGCATTCGCAATCTGTATTATTGTTACAACTATTCTGACTAGAAGCCTTATTATAAAAATGTTTCACTTTTGTAATTAGGGCTCGAATTGCTTAAACTCAACTTGGAAATTCAAATAAGGCAGTTGCGAGAATACCTTATTTAGCATAGCACCAGGCAGCATGAAAGAACAAGTTGAATATGTTAAATGCTCAGTTCTAGACGGGATTCAATCACATGATACACTTGAATGCACAGAGAGTTATGTACAGTGGAAGCAAATGAATTAAAAGTCAGCTTGAAAAAACAGAGAATTTTCTGAAACAGTGTAACGATGATTTTCATAAACTCGTAGTGATATCACTTTCGTATATGTAGTTCTTATGACTAGTAGAAATAGTTGACTTCGAGTTCAAGGTACAACGATACTTCACATGTACGGACTGCATTCTGACTAATAGTAAGTAAGTGAGGTTGTCATACTTGATTTCTGAGTATCAAGTTATTCCACTGTCGACGTGCTTATGAGGTGATGAAACGATCTAATTTGAGTCTATAGGAATAACGCTTATAAGAATGTTCAAACCGTTTTCCACTTAATCGAATGGAATTATATTGAAGAAACACAGTGTTCAGAGCAGTTATGTAGATTCATCGATGTTTTTGTCAGCCTGAGTTGACCCTCACAACAGTTGTAGCACACAAAGGAAGAATGATTGATTTTCTTATATGAGGAATTGAGACGGTCGGTGAAATTTTCGTTTGCTTAATAATTATAATTAATATGTTAATAATATTCGATAATCGCCTGATAGGGTATTGCTGTGGTGAGAGCAGGCTGCTAGCCAAATGGTGGACATTAATTTACGTCTATGTCTAGGTCACTAATATTGGCCGTGAGAAAATATGAACAAGGCTGATTCAACAACCAATCACAGCAGACTTAACGTCGGCAAATAAGATTCGCAAATATATGGCTTAACTTTCCGAGAAACCAGAAACGACCAATCAGAAGACTGTGTTCGTCTGCTTGAATAAGCTATAATAACGTACATGAAACATATATAAATACGTTCTGATTTCCGTAATAAAACGATCTGTTGATGGCCCTTGTCTTCAGTTGTTACATTTGGTGTCGCTGCCTACCGACAACTGAAAAGCCTATGCCCTGCAGTTTTTGATGGAGACATATGGATCTTCGGGCAGGACTTCAAGGCTTCTGCGCTGTTGACTGGCGCTCAAGATCTTTCAGCGATGAAGCTGCTACTTGGGACGCTGCTGGGAAGTAGGGCGAAAGCAGAATATGAAAGTGTGAGCCGAAATACCGACAAATGTACAACAGGGCCGAGCAAACAGTTTCCAAAGTTGGAAGGACCACATATGGTCACTTCGAGATGGGGTTACACAGTCCCAATCGCAAATAAGGAGAAGCGCGTGAACGTTGGCGAGCTCCAGAAATGGATGCAGCGAGGCAAGTCAACGATGACGCCCGCACCAAAAAGATCAAGCCGACTTCAGTCCAAACTATTTGACGGGGTACGAGTCTGGTGAGAGCAGGCTGCTAGCCAATTGGTAGACATTAAGTTACGTCAATGTCTAAGTCACTAATATTACTGCATTCTTAATAAGCATAGTCTACATTTTGAATCATCGTCTGCCAGACACTTATTCTTAAACTACTATTATACTTTTTATTTTATTTCCCGGTATAGACTGTACTCTGGTCTGTCAGCTTGGCTGCTATGTTTGGCTCAATATACCTGAAAAAAGGAATGATATCTCTTGTTGTGACAATCATGTTGACAACTATAATAGTCGTGTTGGCTTTGAAACTACCACCTATAAATGAAAGGGGTTTCATCGTTTTCCTTTCAATATCAATGACCCTCGCAGTTATAGCGATTGTCTTGAAATTTTGTGATAAGTTCATCGGAAATTGTGTAATTTTACTTTGAAATGCAAAATTGAAATAATTAAACTCTCAACGGTTCACTCAGATTAATTTTGAAGTAGGATGAAATTGCCACTGCTCGCTAAATTTTCATTGTTTCATTGAATGTGAATAGACAGTTAAATGTTGACTTAGCGAAGGGATTCTCATAAGTGGGTAGTTTTTATAAGTAAGACTAAGGTTGCTCTGCATTTGCATTTTATAAACCAGTTCACTCCCTTTCTGAATTTCGACAAGACTATTGAACATTATAACTTATGTGAAACGTGTAGTGTATTTACTAAACTTGCATCAGGAAGTTTCAGTCACATACTTATTTTTCACATTTATATAAAACCTAATATATTATAAGGGACCACAGTTTCTTCAAGAATTTCTTTGTAGAGATTCTGCTTGTTTTAGGTTAGACGACCAATTTATATCAGTTATAGAGACAATAAAAACCAGGAAGTCCTAGAAAGCTTTCGTCCAAGTTTGTTACTCCTCATCAGTACGCACCCGCTGGGTTTCAATTCCAGGACCTTCAGTTTACAAGGTAAGCTCGTATGCCATTCAGCCACTGGGACTACGTTCAATGGTCCGTGAGTTCTAAATCCAACCTATTCGTAATTTTGGCGCGAACACCAAACAGTATCAGCCGTATGAACTCCATCCCTATCCCTGACAAGTTTTATTATTATCGGTTGAGATATGTAAGGTTAGCAATCCCATCTAATGGGTAGGAGAATACTGGATGTGTTTTGTGTGTCAGAAAATCAACTAGCATTACTTTGCACTTGGCTTGATGATCTAATTATTGACCCGATATTTAATTTCACTTGATGATATTTTCACCCCATACTCTTCTAACATTATTTTCCTACCTCCTATATGTGATCGTGTCCCATAAACATTTTGACCTATACTTCTACAAATTGCGGTCTTTGATACTCTGTTACATTTAAATTTTAAAAACATTGTGACAAGTTCGTGTGTCGTCGGAATGTTTGGAATACACCACACGTTACAAACATGTATGATTGTAGGAGCATTCATTTTATTAGAATTTTTCAGGACTTATTCTGAAATTCGAAAGACATGATTGTTTAACTTCAGAATCCTCTGGGTAATAAAATGCACCTACACCACCAGATATAGCAATATGGTAATTTGCATACAGAAATAAAACTTGGGTGAAGCGGTTTACCATTGATTCACAAGTTTTTTTTTTTTGGATTTTAGGTTATCTCCATTCTAGATGAGGTTTTTACCGGATTGTTCTTAATCTTTGTAAGTCGATAACAAATTGGCTAATTGATGACTAGTGAAGGAAAATGGTTACAAACCATCCGAGGGAATTCGACTCATCACTAGTGCAATAATGAGCTATTGTTGACTTTTCTGTACGCATTTATATTAGGTGTGCATGAAAATATGACTGTTATTCATAGTACCATTCTTTCTCCTTCTGATGCTTGGAATAATAAAAACAATAATAAGGGGTATCATATTGAAGCATACTGAGGAATATGATCATTGAGATCTCTGGTCAATGGAGGCATGCTAGTTCACGTTTGGGCAGATACCCAGTGTATGTGACTTCGAATAGCCTGATGTGTTCAGTTTCTAATTACGTGACAATACATTAAAGATTGCCTGAAATCGAACAACGTGCACACACGTATGCATCAACTGAACATCTGTCTCAATTTCCCACAGTACACTGAGTACTGCAGCTGTGGTTTGGGAAGTATTTTCGAAAAACATTGTCTATGAGGTTGAAAGACTATAGTTAACATGGCCGAATCAAGAAAAGATAGTTCAGAACAAAAATAGTTAGAGTGAACAATTGTTGTGAGTAAATATTTCAACAGTCTCTAAAATCATAATTCCATTAAGTTAAGTAAACAATAGCCAGTAAAGATAAATTAGAATCATATCAGAAATGTATTGTGCAACAAGTATGACATGGAATGGAACAATAGTCAGTTAGTTTCGAATATGCCTGGTCAATGATAACATGAGATAAAATGAAATTATTTAATGATGTATATATATATATATATATATATTGTCAGCAAAGCTACAGGCTTCGAAGGTGAGTTTAATCATTATTTCACTGACAAAGATTAACTTCAAACCTACATTTCCTGATCTTTAATATTTCTATTACCTTATGTTTAAGCAGTGCTTTTCTAATTTTTCGTCCCATATATATATATATATATATATATATATATATATACAATTGAATTGTTTCATCTGATTGTACCTAATCTTCTCATTAACCAAGTGTTCTATATTCCTCCTAGTTTAGCCTAATTTTGCCTAAAACTTTAAAATAAGTATTTACGGTGTTATCAAACACTAACATGAGCCTCCTGTTATCCCTCTGTTTTAATTCCTGGATTCCTATATATGAGGCTAATAATTGTGTTGGATCACTGAATTAATGCATTTTAAGGTCATTCTACCTGTATGTGTATAGAGAGTTCATGTCTAGCATTTCGACTGTTTTTTGAGACAGTAAAAGCTTTCTTTTCATCTTCTGGTCTTGTTTTGTCTTTGCGTATCACCAGTATTATTGTTGTTGTTGATGATGCACGACTGGAAAGAAAAGCCAGCTCATTAAATTAGTATTTGCTCATACTCTACTAGGTCGTAGTTCCTGTCATAACACCAGGCATATTCATAATGAATTGACTGTTGTTCCATCCCATCTTACACTCGTTCCACAATACATCTTCGACATAATTTGGATTTACCTCTGCTGACTACTGTATGCCTAAATTAACTGATCTGTATTTGTAGAGACTGTGAAAGAATCTGCAGGCAATACTTGTTCCTTCCAACCTATTTTTGTTCTGAATAAACTATAGAAAAATTCAAGAGACAGTTCATGACACCATTAGATACACCATAAATACTTGTATCCTTTTCCAAATGAATGCTAGAGATGAATAAGATCGATGATTTACTGGTTGATTGCTATTCAGTGTGAATTTCCTCAAGCTAACTGGATTATTTTCTCCCTAAATGCCACTGTTTCTTTTTTTCATAACAGGTTATGTTTATTTGTCTCAGTGGACGAAAATTGATAATTTGGTGGTTTGCATCTATTAACACTGAATTCATCCTAGCCTTCGTTGTTTGGTTTCTAATCATAAGTCTCTTCGCAGAAACGTACATGACCTTGAATTCATGCAACAGCAAAACTAATCAGCGTCATACAGGAGACGATGATTTGTACAGTTTTATCCAGATTTAATCAAGGCCACTTTACTGTGTCGGATTTATTCTATTGCTGATTTGAGATTTTTGGTTCTCCTTGACAAAATACTGACGTTGATTTGGTTTTGTATTATAAAGTCTACTTGTGGTTTTAGTTTACTAGACCTCATTGGTATTCTGAAAAAAACTGTACTTGGTTGAACAATGAACACATGGACACAACTGAAATTGTCAACAACAAATCAGTATCCATTTATGATTGTTTTGTTAGCATCATTTTTCATATCGGAATGTGTGCCAAAAATCTTGATATGCTGCAGTCTATCTTTTGAAATGCATTCGAAATTTCAAAGTCATGTTTATTATTTCTGAACAGAATAACTATCCTGTGGATCTTTTGATGACGCAACGTTGTGTTATGAGTATGAAAATATTTTTTTTCATTTTTTTACAGTGATAACTAACACACAATTTATTTTCCTGGGTTTACTGGAGTTGAGTGTATCCACTTTGTCAAAAAAATATGCTGAAATCATGAAGACATACTAAATTCTTATTAACTTGATAACATTGTTTTCTGGTATGAATGTGAGGTGATTTACTCTTCACACTGGGACTTATCATCTAATTCGTTTTCCTTGTAATATCAGAAAATCATAAATAATTTATATTTATCTATGCAGTCATAGAAATATTGTCAACCAATAGAGATGTACTTATGTGTGGTGAATTGAAGTGACATACATCAGAATGATACGTTTCCCAACAAATAATTGTATTTTACGTCAAGAGATGTGGGTAAAATATCGCACAGGCAGTACAGCATAAGAAAACCAATTTATTTGTCATATCCATCAGCCTTCAAACGTCAGTGGATTGAATCTAAGGCATGAATCAAAATTGGAGCTTCTGCCATACGATTACAGAAAATGCAACAGTTGAAACATCATCACCACTCTTATGAAGATGAAGGTGTGAAGCACGTAGTTAGGGCTGTCGTCGGAAATGAATGCTCTTTATTGCCATGGCATAGAAAAACTGTAAAATCCGAATTCATCGGAAATCAAAGTTAGCCTCATTGTAGTACCTGTCAAATTATTGTCTCTAGTAGATGTCCTGACACTTGATCGCACCGCTAAAGATACCAAAATCCTCACTGCCAGGGTAATTCTAAATTAACTCAATTTTCGCAGGTCGAACATCGATTGCATTTCTTCAACATTGCTGTCTTAAATTTCCGATGATGATTAACTTGACTTTACTGTGAAGTTCATTCAACTCAGATGTGACTATGAGTTCGGGTGTGGGCTGAACACAGGTTAATTAAACGGCGTCCATACGGATTATAATTTTACAGTAGCAAAAATTGAAATTACTAACAGAGGTCGTTTCACTTAAAAATGTTACATTTCGCATAACAAAACCAGATGAATGATGCGTTTAGTATTAAAAAATATTCATTATATAATAATCTCCACACTCTGAACGCAAACGTTTTGTGAAATTAAAAGTCACAAGGATATTTATACAGCTTTACAAAAATAAACAGACATCAAGCAGTCGGGCAAAGAATAAACTACGCCGTTAAACAACATCAGGCTTACGTTGATATCATCAAATTTGGAAAGGTATCATACAATCGAAGCAATCAAACTTAAGTCAACATCAGAAATAGCTATGATTACCACTCTAAGTCTGTTGAGGTAAAGTGGAACACACGACACCAGGGTGAGTATTGGATCTAAGAATCCCAACAGGGGTCCACTCCGTTCCGCAAGTGATTAATTATTCTGTTATTATACCGGACCTCTATTGCGAGTAACCACCATCTTCTGTCAGTTTCAAGTTATCAAAATTAATATCATACTCTTATCAGGGGCAACACACCCAATCACCTAAATCTGTTTTCCCTGCAACCATCATCAACCAAGAATTCTAGGTGTGTAAATATGAATTTCACAAGAATTATCAAACATCTTCCCAATAATTTAGAAATATGGAATTCACCCTGAGCATACAACCTGATTTCAAACACCAATATTTTTTTGTGATTTATTAAGTACCACAAGTTTGTGAAATTAAAATATACTATCAATAACAATGATAGTCTCGTTTTACACCTACCTAATAACAGCCTTGCAAATCAAAGTTCTTGTAATTAAAAGGCTTGAAATAAAATCATTTCATGGACTTCGACTATCAGCAAGTAATACAAAATTATGTTTTTTCAATTCGTTCAGCTTATTATGTAAATCTCTGTCTAGTGAACAAAGAACACTTTTTTTATTTCGACAGCGTTTCGAATTTCAAACTTGTGAACATTAATCAGGAAAAAATATTGTTTAGAACGTCATTTTTATTGTTACTATATAGCATCGAATTATTAACACTGAGAAAATCTCATATATGTATGTGGAGTAATGGTCAGCATATCACATTTCGAATTATGTGATATGCATGAACTGATTAAACCCAGTGTGAGATACTGAAGATAACTTCCATGAACGGTAGTGAATACATTCTACCAACTTAGGTTTACAATGAATTTCGGCCAGTGGATTTCTGATTACAGTAGGAATGTGTGATACATTCAGGAACTGAAGAAAAACTGAGAGGAACATTTATTCTGCGGTTTAAGTGAATGCAGAACTGGATAGACAAAGATATATTACAGAGTTTGAATAAAGCGCAAAACAGAGGTTTGTGTATAATAGAATGACACTGCCTATTTTGGTTTCTTATCAGTTTCTTATGAGATGCGTATAGCTGACTGGAACGTAACAAAATTTTATCAAACTCACAGGTATTCATCAACTTTTCAAACTCTTATCTTTATCACGCAAATTTATGCATTGTATGCGTATTTTCTTAGCACTGTCTATTAATTTCAGAGTCCCCTGTGACCTGAAATCATGGTTCTTCTCTCTGAATACCAATGTGCTAGGTTTCACGAAGCTAATAAGAAGCAGAGAAAATTTTTTATTTATTTATTTTTTTATTTTTGGTTACAGCTTGACTCCACACCGTATTTTTGGTACAAGTGTGGAATTTTCAGCGTGGATATCGGTAGCCCAAAATTCGCAGGCCGACCATAGATATCAGGTGTGCGTCGGCGTGGGCTCGAACTCCGGACCATGTGCATGGTCGACGAGAGTCCTAACCACTGTGCCACCGACGCACAAACCATTGAGACGATTTATTGTGCACAAATTATCATTTTTGTATCCTGAAGTAAACGAACTAAATATTTTAGAAGATTAATTATTTTTCTTAAATGTGTAAAGGCTTCGAAGTCAGTGAATGAAGTTAATAATAATGAAAGATTAATGGTCTATAGGGTTAAAATGTATACAGGGTAAGACTCACAAACAGAAGGCATGAGGTAATAGAGTATCTAGGAGCTGACACATAGTCCGTAGCATGAAAACGTATGAGTGATGATCGAACATCTTTGTTCCTTGTACAAATTTTATCTGTTTCGAGTGAATAGTGATATCTTAATATCCATGTGTATACATATCTACATCAGTTTCCATATTAGACTTACAAATTTTTTTCAGTAGCACACGTCACAACACAAATATCTGATGAGTTTTACGGTTAACATATTGTTACTTTATTCTACCTTTTATTACTACTTAAGAGTATTCAAGTTATTTGAACAATATTTCCATGGAAACCGTTCAGAAGAGCTTTGGTAATCCGAAGCTTTGACGTGCTTGCTTACTGTGTAGGAATTAGTGTGTATGAATTGATTGACTCATGTGTTCCTCTTGTGGAATAGTACACCTGAACGTGATATATATATATATATATATATTGCCAAAGGGACTTGCTAAATCATGGGCAACAAGAAGCACCTCACCTAATTGACTAGCTTACTAGCTTTTTCGGCATTTTAAGGCCCTGGGAAAGAAGGACGGTTGAGATTCGTTCTGGCATCACAATCAGACTCCTGTGAGAGTTTCAATGCGCATACAAAATATTAGAAATATAACAAACAAACCAATTTTTGGCTGGAGCTGGGGAGATAGACGGAATGACGCGGCCTGGTGAAAGAAATTGGGAAAACACTCAGTCAGTGGATATGTCTTCTTGTGATAGAAGCAAAGCCAGAGATAGAGATTTGGAATGTTCATACAATGTACGATAGTCGGAAGGCTACCTATGTAGCCAAACGATTAAGAAGATACGGCACAGAAGTGCTGCGAATCTATGAGGGCAGATGGAATGAATGTGGGCTATTCCAATTGTCACGATAATAGTCAGTTATTTACTCAGGTCATCCAGAGGACAACCACGAATACACTGAGTGAGTGATTAGCTGTCATGATGTCTGTGACAGCAGCCAAAGCTCGAATGCAGTGGCAACCAATCTCCTATTGCAGGATAATGACAGAAAGATTAGCCTCAAAAGTAAGGAACGTAAGTCATAACTATCTAATTCTACACGCTTGAAAGCAACTCAGAACCAGAGCAGAAGGGAGATTTCTCTATACAATTACAAACGAAAATTGACAAAATATGAGATGGAGATATCGAAATCATCATGAGCTACATGAATGCCAGTCTTAATAGGAGGAGACAATAATGGACAATAATTCACCATAGCCCTCGAGGCTCTAGCGAAATGAATGACACAAAACAACTTGGATTTCTGATGACGGTGTACAAGAACCAAGATCACGCTGACCCACATATGCACAAATCCCAATCAACAAACTTTCGATTGGTGGAAGTCTGCAGTTGACTTAGAGAATATCATTTATTTAGGGAATAAATTATTTTAGGCTATGGCGAATCCTCATGAATGATAACAGATAAGAGAGAACAAACCCGAATTCAAACTCGAATGGCAGGGAAGAAACAATTCAATAATAATCACACGAATACTCAGCACTCTTCCATCGCAAGTGACTATTCTCAATATACAGGAAAATATCGCAACAAATTATTACACACAGGGTTGTATTCACGTACCAGATGAAAAGAGCATCAAAAAAATACTTACAACAACGAAGTACAACAATACCTGCAGTCACTCAATTCAGTACAAACTGATGGGCTCATTATAGAAAAGAAAACATACAACACATTCCTTCTTAATGATATATCTCATCTCCAAAAACACACACACCATACAGAGTGTTGCATTGTCAACCTGATAGACAATCCAAGAAGAAGAATTAGCAAAGTGCAAACATATTCAGGTATACAACAACACCTACTCCCACTCACCTCATATCCACCAAGAAAACATTCAAGATAAAAAGAGTACAAATCACTCATCCGTCACTCACAGACAGACAGACAGAAACAAGTCACGCCATTTATTATATGATTAGCAGGATAACTTCACTAATTATAGGGATGAAACAGCTCTGCATTCCATGTGAAACGCAGAAGTTTAGTTTGTGGAATTCGGCAACGAAATATGTATAGAAAGTCACCGCTTATACGAAGCATAAGAAAGTTAGTTAATTATGCATTATTGACAGTTGTGAACTGCCGACATAAGTAA